CAGTACCCCATCCCCAGCTCTGGGGGGTGGGGGCAGTTAGTCCTGATTAATGCCAGAGACAGTAAGATCAGAATGAGGCCTCCTGACAAAATCTCTTGGATTTTGTTCTGGGTTTGTACAGTACCTAGCCCCCTGGGGACGTGGGCCGTGGCTGGGGCTCCTGGGCAGGAATCTCTCTCTTACATGCAAACACACACACACACACACACACACCACACTCTCCCTTCCTTCCTCGAGAGCCTGGCTACAATTTTTACGCCCCCTTAGGAAATAAATTCCCTCAGCGCCTGGCAGGATGGATCTGAAACCCTGCAGCATCCGGGCGCATCACCCCCGCCCACTCCTGCCGAATGCTGCAGCGTTTTACGAGGGGCTGCCAAGCAGAGGGTGGGATGGTTGACGTTCCTTATCCCAGCCTTTCAGATGCATCCTTCTCCTCAGGGGGCTGGTGCCGGTTTCTTTCAGTGGTGACCTGGATGGGTTCAGACATCACTGGTTTTGTTTTGGGAGGTCAAATGAAGCCTGTATCTCAGCATCACTTGATCATGGAGCAAGACCATTGGTCAGCCCCAGATGTTCTCCAGCCTCAGTCGGGATTCACCCCAAACACCCACAAACCAGGCAGTAAGTCTGGCCTCCCCTTCAGCTCCATAAGGAAACCCAAGATGTGGGGGAGCTGGGCCTGGTTTCAGCTCCAGGGAAGGGACAGGCCTGACCCGGAACCCCAGATTCAAACCCACTGGGGGCTCGGAATTTCACAGCCGGCCTTTAACTGCGTAACAGGCTGAACAAAACCCCCAGCTCAAACCCCGCCCTTTCCCCAGGCCGTCGGGTGGCTGGAAATACAGGCTTTTTCCAACGTATGGCCACACTGCGCATGCGCGATAGCAGGGCTTGAGCTCGCACGCTACGAATAGCAGGGCAGTCACAGCAGCTCAGCCTCTCGACCCCAGCCGACTGCCCGCGCGCTCCAGCCTGAACTCACATCTCCACAGCGCTCTGGTTAGCACGCTAGCTCCCGCCCTGCTAGCATGAGTCTGTGGACCCAGGCTAGGAGGCTCACTCCCCGCTGCAGGGTAAACACCCCCCAAGTGACTTAGGAGCCCAGGTCCCATTTTTAAAAATAATGTAGGGCCAATTTTAAAGGTATTTGGGTGCCTAGAGATGCCTTAGGCATGCAGTGGGATTTTTGAAAGTGCCTAAGTAGTTCAGGTGCCTAACTCCCATAGGCCCCTAAATACCTTTGCAGATTTGGCCTTTGGGTCCTTTGGCGCCTAAGTCCCATGAGATTTAGGCTCCTAAGTCTCTAAGTGACTTTTGAAATGGGACTTAAGCTCCCAAGTCACTTCATCCTTTTTGAAACTCTTACCCCGCGACTACTCCAGAAGTGAGGCCATCAGTGGAGAGGACTTGTGATTTGTCCCCATTCAGGGCCGGCTCTAGGATTTTTGCCGCCCAAAGCAAAAACAATTTTGGCCGCCCCCCCCCTTATTTAATT